CTGAGAGGAATTTGAGAGTGAAACGCTCAGCGATGAGTGCGCTCCTTACCATTCTGTACATATACGACTGACGGTGACTCACCACCATACCTATGGCAGGTAGCATACACTGTAAAAAAAAAAAACGTAAAAAAACGGTAATTTTCTGGCAGCAGGGGCGCCAGAAAATGTCTGTTAAAAAACAGAAAAATACTGTCAGGAAAAAAAACAGCAAAAAACAGTAAAAAAATGGTAATTTCTTATCCTATAATTACGGTTTATTACTGTTATTCTACTGTTAGATCATTATAGAACCATGAAATCTTTTAATTTTAACATAAATTAATTGTGAAAATGTAGTCATACACCTCTAAAACACAGAAAATCGTCTTTAAAAAAAGTTTTAAGTACAGATAATAACATATGCTGTAAAAAAACGGTAATTTCTTTTCATATAATTACGGTTTATTACTGTTATTCTACTGTTATATCCTTATAAAACCATGAAATCTTTTAATTTTAACATAAATTAATTTTTAAAATACAGTCATACACCTCTAACACACAGAAAATCGTCTTTAAAAAAATGTTAAGTACAGATAACATATACTGTAAAAAAACGGTTTATTACTGTTATTCTACACAAAATATCCTTATAATACCATGAAATCTGTATGAAACATACATTGTTAAAATGTATGTTAACATACATTAAAATATTCAAACACAGAAAAATTATTTAAAGAATGATAAAAAAATACACATAATATATATAGATATACACACATACAGTTTTTATAACAGTTCTTAAACTTTTTTTTTGCAGTATAAACTGCAAAAATAACTAAGATTTGCTTTAATAATAAAACACACAACAACAGTAATCTTAATTTTGTTTTATTTGTTATCTGCAAATACAGCCTGTGATCAACATTTAACAAAGCATTTTTTTATGAAACTGGTTCTCCCCACTGGTTAAAACTACTGGTCTTTACTGTGAGTTTTTTTTTTTTTTTTAACCTGTACTTTGAAATGTACACAATTTAAAACATGTAAACACACGTTAAAACGCTGCACTCACTCAAGATAACAGTCAGC